GGTCGGAACATGGAAGTGTACGTCGATGACATGCTAGTCAAGAGAAAACTCTCCTCCGATCATCTGGCGGATCTGCAGGAGACCTTCGGCACCCTACGTAAGTATCAAATGAAGCTCAATCCGGAGAAATGCGCCTTCGGCGTAGGATTTGAGAAGTTCTTGGGTTTCATGGTCAGTCAGCAGGGTATCAAGGCCAACCCCGAAAAGATTAAGGCCCTGATAGAAATGCAGTCACCCAGAACAGTTAAAGAGGTTCAAAGGCTTACCGGCAGAGTCGCCGCCCTCAACCGCTTCATTTCCCGTGCAACGGACAAGTGCCTCCCTTTTTTCAAAGTCCTTCAGCAGGCTTTTGAGTGGACGACCGAATCCAAAGAAGCTTCCAACAATTGAAGCAGTGCATGGCCAACTCACCCTTACTCTCTCAGGCGCTCACCGGCGAGCCCCTTTTTCTCTATTTAGCCGTGTCAAGCACCGCAGTCAGTGCGGCCCTCGTCGGGGAGGACGGCCCAGTACAGCGTCAGGTTTATTACATTAGCTGGGCTCTTAGGGGAGCGGAACAGAACTACCCATTACTAGAAAAAATGGCCTTGGCCTTGGTCATAGCCTCATGACGACTCCGACCTTACTTCCAAGCTCACTCCATAGTGGTCCTCACTGACCAGCCTTTGAAGAAGATAATGCAACAACCAGAGTTGTCTGGTAGACTTATGCAATGGTCAGTCGAGTTCAGCCAATTTGAAATCTCCTACCGACCTTGAACAGCAATCAAAGGACAGGTCGTCGCCGATTTTATCCTGGAGTTCACTAATCCCATTCCAACCACGGCCCCTCCACCCAAGCAATCCCACACTGAGGATGAAGATCCCCACTCTTGAACCCTCAATGTCGACGGATCATCCTGCAAAGAAGGAAGTGGAGCTGGTCTCATCCTCACCACCCCCGAGGGTGGTTATTTCAAGTGTTCTCTCCACTTTCTGTTTGACGCAAGCAACAATGAGGTCGAGTATGAGGCCCTGATAGCAGGCCTTCGCCTAGCCAGAGACATTGGTGTGAGCCACACCCGAGTATTCAGTGATTCCCAATTAATCGTTGGACAAATCACGGGGGAATTCGACGCCAAAGACGACACAATGCGAGCCTACAGTGATATTGCACTTCCCCTTGTTTGCCTCTTCAACACTTTCCACATCAAACACATTCCTCGGTCGGAAAACTCCAAGGCAGATGAAATGGCCCAATTAGCCTCAGCTGACCAATCGAACCTCAACCATGGAGTTTGTCTTGAATACCTAGCCCACCCGGCCACGTCGCCAATCCCCCTGGAGGTCCACTTCTTCCAAAATGAACCTATCCCATGGGCAACGGACATCCTTCTATTCTTAACAAGTGGGCAGTTACCAAATGACACATAGCAAGCCGCCAAAGTTAGACCCCGGTCGTCCAATTACATCCTCATCAACAGCCTCCTGTACAAACGCGGGTTTTCACACCCATACCTCAGATGCCTCAGTCCTTTCCAAGTGAGCTATGTGATGAGGGAAATCCACGAGGGTGTATGTGGTAATCACTCGGGTTCCAGGTCGCTGGCCCATAAAATACTCTGCACCAGCTACTTCTGGCCTACTCTCAACCAAGATGCCACTGAGTTCGTGCTTAAGTGCAATAAATGTCAGCGATTGGCCAACATCCCCCATGCTTCGCCGACAGAACTGATTACACTCAACAGTCCCTACCCATTCGCTAAGTGGGGCATCGACTTAGTTGGTCCATTGCCCATCAGTAAGGGCCAAACCAAGTTCGTTGTGGTCACCATTGATTACTTCACCAAATTGGTGAAAGCAGAACCTCTCGCCACAATCACCGAACGGAACACAACTAGATTTATCTGGCAGTCGATCATATGCCGATTCGGAATCCCCCAAGCCATCGTCTCAGACAACGACAAGCAATTCGACAACTCCAAGTTCAGGAAATTTTGTGCAGAACTCCACATTCAACAGTGCTTCTCTTCCCCAGGCCATCCCCAAGCCAATGGGCAAGTAGAGGTTACCAACCGTTCTCTCCTGAAGATCATCAAAACTAAGTTAAAAGCCGCTAAGGGACTTTGGGTGGAGGAATTGCCAAATGTACTCTAGACCTATCGCACTACCGCCCGAACCCCCACTAGGGAGACCCCTTTTCGCTTAACCTACGGCGTTGAGGCGGTCATTCCAATGGAAAGCGGCCTGCCAACCCCAAGGGTTTTGCACCCGAATCCTGAACTCACCGAAGAACTACGTCGGGCTGACTTAGACCTGATCGAAGAGCTCCGAGAGACCACTACCGTTAGATGGGCCTCATATCAATAGAAAATGAGAGCACACTACAACCGCAAAGTCCGACAGAGGGAGTTCACCGTTGGGGACCTAGTTTTGTGCAAAGCAACTCTCGTCACCAAAAATCCTGCCGAGGGCAAGCTGGCAACCAAGTGGGAAGGACCTTACGTTGTTAAGGCCAGACCTCGCCCGAGCACGTACCGACTCCAGGACATGGAAGGTCGAGACCTCCCCCACCCATGGAACGCCGAACACTTAAAGCGTTATTTCCAGTAAAGTACCATGTCCTATTTTTGTATTGAGCATTTGTTGTACGACAATCTACACACTTGGTTATTTTTGTCCTCCTCAAACATGGTGCAAATTTCTAATCAATAGGCTACGCCTTAAATGACAATGACTTTGTATCTCTGCTATTTGCGTTGTGTTTCCATAACGACTTTATAAACTAAGTTAATTAAGCCTCAGCTAGACTGAGCACGAAGAGCTTAGCCAGACTGAGTTAATTAAGCCTCAGCCAGACTGAGCACGAAGAGCTCAGCCAGCCTGAGTTAATTAAGCCTTAGCCAGACTGAGCATGAAGGGCTCAGCCACACTGAGTTAATTAAGCCTCAACTAAACTGATCGTGAAGAGCTCAGCCAGACTGAGTTAATTAAGCCTCAGCCAGACTGAGCACGGAGAGCTCAGCCAGACTGAGTTAAGTAAAGCCTCAGCCAGACTGAGCATGAAGAGCTCAGCCAAACCGAGTTAATCAAGCCTCAGCCAGACTGAGCACGAAGAGCTCTGCCGAACTGAGTCAATTAAAGTTTCAACATGGTAGAGCCTCCCCAGTCTTAATCAGAACTCGAATGAAGAATTCAACCGGTCCATTTTCGTAATTTGACGTTACAGCGTGGTCGCCATACTTAGTTAAAATTCCGGTCCATACTACCATATTTTTTAACAATTTTTATATCCCTAATTTTACATTTTTTATTTTTTATTTAGTTCGAATCCAGGTCCATAGTCGTCCACTCCAATTTTCGTAATTTTACATTTTCGTGCATGCCTATCTTTAACATTTTTTGCATCATGGTTTTCTCACAAGCTAGGCTGGCTGCCCATTTCTAAAAGCTCTTTACATCACAATCTACTGGCAAGCTTCATAATTCATGCACAAGTCTTGCTTTTACAACCTTTCTTCAGAAAATTCTGCTCTGCCAATGTCATTATTTTCAAATTTACAACTTAGAACAAGTAACGACAACAGTACAAGGGAAACTTGTTGTTTTATTTACAAACTTACAGTTACATACGATTCACAGCAAAAATTACACATAACAACAAATAAACAACAAAAAAAAAAAAAAAAAAAAAACAACAACAACAACAACCAAAAAGGATCACTCCTCCTCAGTAGAGGCCAGATCTTCTTCCTCAATCCCCTCGTCCAGGGGGGTCTGGGCAACGTCGTCTTCGCCTATCTCCATGCGGCTAAAGTCCACATCTGGGAACAGCTCTTCCGCTTTCTGTTTGAAGGTCTTCCACCCGCTGTCCCAGAACTCAGCTATTTCATGCTTATAAAAATCCAACCACTGGAAGCTCTGGATGACTTCCTCTTCGCTTCTACCTCCAGCGGCCACTACAGACGGCCCAGCCCCTCCACTACCCTCTCTCACCAAGCTGCTGGCGACAGCTACATCAATGGCCATCTGGAAGTCGGCGGACCCCTTGAACTACTCTACAGCAGCCATACACAGGTCGGGGTACGCCGCCCTCTCAGATGCCAACTTGGCCCTCTCCTCTACTAGAGCCTTCTCCAACTCAGCAATCCTCTGGCCTGCTTCTTCTTTTTCCTTGATCGACTGAGCGCGTAAATCTTCATTACAGGTCATAGCCTCATCCCACCTTTCGTTGGCGGTGGTGCAGGCTTTCTGGGCCTCCTCAAGTTTCTTCTGCTCGCCAGCCAACTGAAACTCAAGCGATATCACATTGTGGTGCTCCGCTTCAAGCTCTGACTTGGCTGCGACGAGCTCGGCACTAGCTCGCTCCGCCACGTTCCTGTACACCACCGCCAATACCTCCATGACCTTCGCCCTCTGCGCATACTCCAAACCCTTGGCGCACGCACTCCTGGTAGTCTTCATCCACCCCGCTGTTTCCGTCCTTAGATTCTGGAGCTCCGATTTTGCCCCCTCCAATTGGACCCTTAGCGGTTCAACTTCCACCCTAGCACGCGCCGTCTTATTCATCAAGGCGGTCGCCAGAGTCGCTGCCTCCATCTGAGCTGAGTAAAACCCCCTCAACAGATCGGCCTCTAACAAACGCGTCGTCGAGCGCACCGCCACATCTTCCACTACTCCAACAATGCGGTCGGCTACGACCCTGGCTCCTTCCCCTTTCGCCGAGCGACCTGCCAACGTGCGCGCATGGTACAAGGCGGTCGCCAGCACCCCACTTGTCGCTGGCTTGCTGATCCCCGCTTTTCCCTCACTAGGGCTTGAGATTACTTCTAGTGCAGGTGCCACCATCGGCATCATGGGGGCACTTAGGCCCAGGTCTTCCGTAGCCACTTGGGCGGTCTTTTCTTCTGCACCCTCCTTCATCTCCCCCTCCTTCAACTTCTCCTTTTGTGGAGCCTCCTCCGCCTTCCTCTCCCCCAACTCCTTCCCAACAGGGGTAGCCTACCCTCCAGCCTTCATCTTTTACAAAACAGGGGTGTTTTCCTTCCCCTCTACACCCCCCTCTTTTTCCTTAGCTTCTTTACAACCGCCTCTACTTCCTGCTTGCCCCTCACCTTCAGTGGGTCTATTGGGGGCGGCAGAGGGGCGAAGCCAATTAAGTCTTTGTCGCCCACCGGCTTCGGACGTGATCGGATCCGCTTCCTTATCACCAGCTTCAGGGAAGGCCCCAATTGCGCCTCTTTGTATTTTTCCACCCTGGCAAACAACCTCCCCTTTTTCTCCTCCTCCTCCTCCTCCTCCTCCTCCTCCGCCTTCCTCCGCACCTTCATTTCCTCCTTCGCTGGATCCTCTTCCAACGGTTGCGGTCCCAAGTTCAAGGCAAACAATATTGATGGCAGGACCAGCTCGTCCCACCTCACTCCCTTCTTCTCCCTCCACTCCCTCACCTTCTTTACTCAGTCTTCGGCTTCCATGCCTAACTTTGGCTCCACCGATTTCGTGGGGACCTTCCATGTTGTGCGAACTCTTGCCCCACCATTCGCCGACACGAAGAACCATCTTGGCCTCCACCCCTTCACCGAAGATGGCAGGCCCGCCACTAGACCTCGACCTGCCACTGCTTATAGAGTCACCTATGTCTCCTGTTAACAGGAGGCCTTGTAGGCCCGCCACTGCCTGCAGAGTCACCCACATCTCCTGCTGACCGGAGGCCTTGTAACAGGAGAAAAACTCCTCCACTGTCATTGTCGTCCCTCCAGTCGCCTGCTGCCAGGCACTCGCGTAGGCTACTACTACCTTCCAGGCGTTCGGCATCAGCTGCTCTGGCGCCACTTCTAACTTGTTTAGCACGTCCACCACTATTTTGGGGAGAGGTAGCCTCAAACCCCCTCGCAGCGCTTCTTCTTAGAGGCTGAATTCGTCTGGTCGCACATCCGATGCCCTCTCTTTGGATGTGGGTAGCCTCAATCCTATTTTCGAGGGAATTTGGTACTTCCTCCTTATTCCCTCCAACTCTTCCACCGTCAGTGTGGATCTGTCTAGCTTGGTGTGCCAATGGTCGGGCTTCGTTTAACTAATGGGCCTCGCAACCGTGATCATTGTCATAGGGCGGGCCTACATCGCTTGACTAACTACCTTCCCTTCCCTTCGCTCCACACGGTATTGTTCCGCCAACTCCACCCCATCGTCGTCACCTAACGAATCAAGCCTTGCGGCTGGCACTTCCTCTTGGGCCATTTCTCTTGCGTATCTGCGAATCGCTTCAGACGCGGGCACAAGAAAGTTCACAAAATGTTGCAGAGGTGTATCACTGGAAATGAATGAGTTTACTTCTGGGATGTGTTGGTTTTTTGCAAAAATATAGGTAAAGCAGACAACCCCAAACGCTGACGATTTACCTATATTCCAAGGGTCAAGGTCAAATTTCACCAGTTTGAAAAATTTTGAAAAACTCCTACCCCTGCCTTTTCACTGCCCTATATATCACCCTGTCCCTTCACTTCTTCCTAACGCGTCACCTCCCCCTCCACGGATTCTGATACGTGTACGACAATGATCCACTACTTCATTCCCCTTCTCTATCTATTCCACTTCACTTCACCACGTGCCTCGCCGCTCCTCGAGCCCCGCGCACCGCTACTTCCTCTTTTCACGGTCGACCCTCCTCACGGTCGGTCCCTCCACTGGGTCACCCTTCGCAGTTGGCCTTCCTCCCGGTCGGTCCCTCCGCTAGGTCACCCTTCGCGGTCGGCCCTCCTCACGGTCGGTCCGTCCACTGGGTCACCCTTCGCGGTCAGCCCTCCTCAAGGTCGGTCCCTCCACTTGGTCACCCTTCGCGGTTGGCCCTCCTCACGGTTGGTCCATCCACTGGGTCACCCTTCATGGTCGGCCCTCCTCCCGGTCGATTCTTCCACTTGGTCACCCTTCACGGTCGGCCCTCCTCACGATCGGTCGGTCCACTCAGCCACCCTTCGCGGTCGGCCCTCCTCACGGTCAGTCCCTCTGCTCGACCACCCCTCGCGGTCGGCCCACCTCCTGGTCGGTCCTCTCTCCGTCGCTATCTCACAACCCCTGTTTTCTTCCTTATTCCCTTCGTTGGACTAAAACGACACTAGGGAATGGGGGACTACTAACATAGGTAAGCCCATAAAGGATATGGCCCACCACTTAAGGCCCAATCCATGATTCAAATAACAGAGCCCAACATTCCCAAAACCTAACGTTACACCAAGCACCAATGGCATCTAAACACTTGGCAAAGTAAAGAGCCAACCACATCAACAGACAAAGATCCTGTAGAATTATTGCACCACACATCAGCCATTAATGAGCTTCCCTACAGCATTTATTACGATAATTGTAACGGCCCAAAACGCATGTCACAATTATCCTTAATTAATTATGCAATAATATGAATTAATTGGAGAATATTTGTTTGAATTGGAAAAATATTTGTCGGGACTACAACTTCGGGACTGAAATTGACGACCATAATGGGTTCGAAAAACGAAATTGAACACGCCTATGTGTTACCGAAAATTTTTAGAGCCATTTGGAAAATTTAATTGAGAACTGATTTTCGTCTGATTCGTTAAGCCATGTTTGGCTCAATTCTTAAGCACAAATATAAAACTAAAGATATGGCCCATTGTTTGACTCAACACAAAAGAGGAAAAGAAAATCTAAAAGAGGAAGAGAGTTCTAGAGAAAACGTGAACCAAGGGGAAGAAGAAGAAGAAGGAAAGGTGATCAAGCTAAATCTTCACCCATTAAACCATCCAAGGTAAGATTTGCCATCTAATTCCATGAATCTATGTTGTATTACCCTTTTCATCTAGCAAGCTAAGGAGTTTCATGGTGTAGATGTTTGTTAGAACTCTCATCTCAAGATCTTGGCATGAATTCATGAAATTCTTGTGCATATGTATTTACTTTTCACTTAGTTCTTTAATTGAGAGTAGTCCCCATGAATTTTGAGTTTATGTGCATGTATTATGATTTTCCATCCCAATTCAAGGTTTGATGCTTTACATGAGGCATTTGGATTTTGTTTGGAAGATATGTGTAACGACTCGGATTTTAAATTCACATCGGATTGATATATAGTGGTGCCTGTCACCTTAAAATTTGTATGGTTGTCGGACTCTTGATATTGATAGGTTGGCAAGTGAACTATAAATATTATAATTGAGGACCTTTGGATGATGTTTGGAACCTTGATCGAAGCATTAACAAGATATATAGATAAGATTAGATAAAAGGTCCCAAATTTGAGTTTGAATTTTTGACCAGCCGTCACTCTTTTGCCCTTTTCTCCTTCCATACTTAGAATTTGAATGTGCGGTTGGAACCATTGGAAAGCTTGTTTCCGGGGCTTCAATTTGAACACAAGAACGGCCTAGAAAGGAGTCCCGATGAGAGAGTTATACCCGTTTGAAGTTTCCACATCTGTGCTGGAAGCAGAGCCGCACGTGCGGGGAATAGCGCCGCACGTGCGGGCTGTGCGGGACAGCAGCTAAAAAAACGTGATTTTGGGACCATTTCTTACATTTTCTTTTCCTCTCTTCTTCTCCCCTCTTCCATGTCCGAAAACTTAGCCCTAAAAACCTTGATTTCCTCCACTTTTATCAACAAATCAACCATGGATTTTGCATCAACAATGAAGAACAAGTGAAGATCAACATTTTCAACCGATTGGATTTTGAAATTTCGAAGTTATGCTCTTGACCTAGCTTCCTTGCTTTCAATCTTGAGGTAGGGGTCCTAGTTCTCCTTCAATGCTTACATAAATAGATAGATTTTTGGTATTTTAGAGTATATAAATGCAAAATCTACATGTTGAGCATATAGGGTTATATTATGGAAATTTGGGGATTTCGGATTTGAAGAATTTGGGGTTTAATTGTTGGGTTTAGATTATGGATTATGAACCTAGGATATACAATCAAGGGGAGAATTGGAAGAAAAAAATAATGGGTTAAGAAGTTTGAATTTTTCTTGAAATTTCTAGGTTTTTCTAGAAACCCTAGGTTGATTTTTGATGATAATCAATTATTTGGCCCAAATTGAAAGTTGAATCATGAAATTGGTAGGTTGAATTATCTATGTACAAGTTTAATTGGAATTTGGTTATGTTTGAAAATTATGTTTAAAATTTGCGAATGAATTTTGTTACGAGCAATGTAAATCATGTTATAATGAGAAGGAAATTGGAGGAAATGATTTATAAATGATATAGATGACATAAACTCGGTTATGGAATGTTGAAATGGAATTTAAGAATTCCTCTTGAATTATGTTGAATTATATTTAATGATGTTGAGTTGAATCATGTTGCTTATGTTGAATTGTAGTGATTATGTGAGATAGTATTGACTATGTTGACTTTGATTTTTGTGACCTAAAATGTGGAGTTTTCCAAAATGGGTTAATCCCAAATTATTTTGCTAAATACTTGTGGGCTTGCTTAGTTATTAAAATCAAGAGAGTGATTTATTTTTGGAAAAATGTGGAAGATGTCCATACAATTCCTTCCTATCTTGAAATCGAAGAAAATAGCGCAATGCGCAAACCAGCGCAATTGAAATGCAATGCAAAATGCAAGTATGGTGCACAAAAAAGTGCGATTAATAATTTGCAAAAATAGTGCGATACAACAGACAGTACAGTAGATGCAAAGGGGGACCAACTCCAATCATGCTGGAATCATGAGAAGAGGTCAAAACAATTCCAAACATGCTGAAATCGTGTGAGGAAGGAACAAAAGGAGAAACGTAAGGACGTATCCCCGTGTTTCATTGTGAAATTATGGAAACATCAAAAAGGATTTGTGAAATGTGCATCTCGAATTTGTGAAGTATGGATCACCAACTTGTGAAATATGAAACGATGTGGCCGAGGGCCATTTGTGAAGTATGAATTTCCGAGTTGTGAATTGTGAAACTATGAAGCCAAGAGCCGAATTGTGAACCTATGAAACCCAAAAGCTAATTTATGTATATGTGAATTTATGAGGCCAAGGGCCGACTTATGAATTTATGTGGCAAGGGGCCATTTGTGAACTATGAACCTATGTGGCCAGGGGCCATTTGTGAAATTATGAAGCTATGAGGCCAAGGACCAAACTTGTGAACTTGTGAATCCAAAGGGCCGAAGGCCGATGTGCTAAGTTGTGAATCTATGAAACCTGAAGGCTATTGTGAATGTGTGAACCCCTCAGGCCAAGGGCCGAACTGTGGAATTGTGAAACCGATAAAGTCATCTGTAATATAATGAAAATGTGCTTACTTTGTCCTGTTAACTTTATGTTAATTATGTCGACTCGTGGGAATGATGTAACGGTTACCATTAGGACTCTATTAATTACAAGGCAAGGCAACTATGTTAACATATAAGAACGATTAAACAACGGTGTATACTATTGATTAATAGAGCACGTGAATTAAGTCATTTACCCAAAAGAATTTATGTTCATTCTTGAAGAATAGATTCTGAGTAAATATAAGAGTAGCTATGTGTATCCATATGAATTTGAAGTTATGTTGCTATGTTGCTTATGAATTGGAAGTTATTCGGAATCTACGATATAAGTGCCAAGTTTAGCATTATTATGTGACTCTTATGAGAATGTGAATTAGTCTCTTATTGTTAAGCGTATGATAATGACATGACACAACAAGAAACGCTCCAGTTATAATATGTTCCGTTTGACTTAATGAATGATGTTCAAGTATGTTTCAGGTATG